CCATTTAATGTATTTTCCAGTTGTATATAACCTGAAAAAACTGTCCCATGATCAAGATGCAAAACATCTTCATCATCCCCAAAGATTCCTAGTGGCCCTTTGTAATCTATTTCTCCCTCTGCTCCAGCCCCAGGCAACCACTGACATGCTTTTTGTTACTATAAATCAGTTTGCATTTTTTATGCGTAGAATAATACAGCATGTGTTATTTTGTTGATGGCTTCTTTCATTCAGCATAATTTTTTATTGTGGTAAATTATATATATAACATAAAATTTACCATTTTAATTCTACAGTTCAGTGGTGTTAAGTATATTCACATTGCTATGCAAGCATCACCACCATCCATGTCTAGATCTTTTTTCCCCTTGCAAAACTGAAACTCTGTACCCATTAAACATTAACTCCCCATTCCTCCCAGCCCCTGGCAACCACCATTGTATTATCTGTCTCTGTGAATTTGACTACTCTAGGTACCTTATATAAGTGAAAATCTTGCAGTATTTGCCCTTTTGTTACTGGCTTATCTCATTTAGCATGATGTCTTCAAAGTTCACCCATGTCGTGGCACGTGTCAGAATTTCCTTTTTTGAGGCTGACTGATATTCTATTATATATGTAGACCACGTTTTGTGTATCCGTCTGTCCGTGGATGCTTGTTGCTTCCACCTTGGGACTGTTGGAAGCAGTGCTGCTGTGAACTTGGGTGTACAAATACCTCTTCTTTCTTTTAATTCTTTTGGGTATATATGTGGTAATTCTGTTTGATTTTTTTGAGGAACCTCCGTACTCTTTTCCACTGTGGCTGCACCATTTTACAACATTACTTTTTAAACAATATTTTTCATTAGACCTGCTTCTTGTTCTGATTATCCCTTCACTTTCCAGAAACCCAGCTGGAGATATCCTTTGACTTCTCATGGCCCTGCATGATAACGGTCTTTTCCTTCAGTGTCCTGAACCTCTGCCTTTCTAGTCCTTTCCTACTGATGTAATTGCTCAGAGAGTGGCTCAGCCTTAATAACCTCAAGTGAAATTACATGGCTCACTTTCTATTAGCTACAGCCATTCCCCTCTGTGTCCTACCTGTCTCTCATTAGCTGTAGTTATTATACAACCCACCAATATCCTATTAACAATATCATGATACAGCCACCTATTAACTCCACATATTATACGCCTACCTTGGTCCTCTTAATTGACTTTATTGTGCTATCCTACTTATATGCATTTTGCTGTATCTGTTAAATAATCTGTCCTATTAACTGTATACCCCAATCCTTTGCAACTGTTGTCTGACTCGCTAGCACACTGTTCTTAATATCTTCAGTGCTGCCTCGCTGTTCACCTGTTCAAAGTGTTCACCTGTTTGCACCTTGTTAGGTCCAGGTATCAAAAGCCCACCAGGAAGCTGCACATATCATCGACTCTGGGGGCCCAGCCGTAAATGAACAGCGTGTGCAGGGGGCTTCAGCCCTAAAGTAGGATCTTTTCCTTTGACCAGTACAGTACAGCCTACCAGTCTTTATAAGCCACATTAATGATGTGTGTGTGTGTGTATGCATGCATGGGTTTGAGGATGTGGGGATAAGGGAGTTTTCTGGGCACATGGGTTTGGAAAGCCTGGTGAGAAGGGACAACATGGAAGAAGAAAACTTAGTACGGAGAGGCCAGGGGGAGAGAGGGCCGAAGGATGAGATCCCTGTTCCTTTGGCAGGACAGAACCCTTTCTGATGCCATCTTTTTTGTTAACGGTTGACAAGCTTGGATGACCGTGTATCACAGCAACCCTTGGCATGTTGCCAGAATGACAGTCCCTTTATTTCCAGTTTTATGATCCTGTGCTTCTCTGAGCCCTGTCACGCTTGGGCCACATCTGCTTGGTTAGCAGCAGCCACAGTTGAAGAACAGAGCCAGGCACATAGCAACTGCTCGTCCAGTGTTGGTTGAATGCTGTGGAAGGGTGACTTGCGGAATCTCTCTTTTTTGTTGTCATCACGTATCTTACTCCTGAGGTCAGGAAAGGAGACCGGGTTCTTGAACGCCATCTGGTACACACTGGGGCTACTGTCTGGAGGAACACTCATGCATTAAAAAGACCAATGAGCTGTGTGTACGTAAGAGAATTCTCAGGTAATCCTTTGCCTTTCTGAAATACTTTTTAAAAGCACTACCAAACCTGTGATTTTATTTTATTTCACATGCTTTTATTTATTTTTGACCTCCAATGTGTAGACAGAGAAACTGAGATCCTGCTACGGTCTCCTAGTAGCGTCAGGATTACTGCTGTCTAGCTGCCTCTGTGCATGGCATGCAGTAACACCAGGGAGAATTTTCAGGGCCCAGCTGTGGTCCAGACTGAACATGTATATGCCTTACCTCTGGGCAGGGCTCCTTGCAGTTCTGTGTGCCGGGCAGAAGCTTTCACAGGGATGTCCCTTGACAGCCTCGGGGCCAAGCACAGCTGTGCCATGCCCCAGGCCCAGCTTTGTGTAAATGAAACATCCCCATTCTCCCACTTCTGCAGCCAGCCTCTGGTTTCTGTGTTTACCAAACACGTGCTGATGCCTTACCCTAAACACAGCTGAAGTCTGGGTTTGCCTCCTGCACCTGAAGCCCCCTCCCCTCTTCCTGCTCCCTGAGGCTACTGAGGACCAGGTGTCGAAAGGTCCCCTGGCATCTGTGTCCGAGCCACAGGGGTGAGGGATCTGAGGGTGCCTCCAGGCAGGATGGGTCTGTCTTGAAGCTTGAAAAAGTACCTGGCTGTACTGAGCTGAATAGCACCCACAAAATTCGTATGTACGTAGAACCTCAGAATGTGACTTCGTTTGGAAATAGGGTCTTTGCAGGTATAATTCGTTAAGGATCTTGAGAAAAAAATTATCCCGGATTTGGGGTGGACCCTATATCCAATGACTGGTCGTGTCCTTATTAGAGAAGAGGAGACAGGGAAGAAGGCTTCCATAAGCCAAGGAAGGCCTGGGGTCACCAGAAACTGGAAGAGGCAAGGAAGCATCCTCCCCCAGAGCCTTCAGAGGGGAGCTCTGCCAACACCTTGATTTCAGACTTCTGGCCTCCAAAAGTGTGAGAGAATAAATTTCTCTTCTTTGAAGCCACTAAGTCTGTGGTAATTTGTTCCAGCAGGTATAGGAAACTCTTAGCCTGGCCGACTAGCAGACGGGAGGTGGGACTGCAGGACTGGTCCTAGAGCCAGGCTGTTGGGCCTCCTCTGCTGCCCTTTCTTCTCTTGCCTTCAGGGCCTGGGAAAACACTGTGCCAGGCCAGTCCCAGGAGCAAGGGGAAGACAGGAGTTAGGAGGAAGACCAGGGCTTGCTCTCCCTGTTGTCACTCTAACCTTGGTGCAGAAAGACTTCTGTGCCCTCTCAATACCACTATTACGTCACTACCTTTCTTTAGTGTTCCACCATGGGCCAGGCACCGTGCAGGTCTTTACATCATTTCACACAGTTGTTGTATCTTAGCTCAGGCTGCCATCACAACATACCATAGACTGGGTGGCTTAAACAACAGACATTTATTTCTCTGGAAGCTGGAAAATCCAAGATCAAAGTTTTGTTGGTTGATGGTTTTGTTCGTGGTGAGGACTCTCTTCCTGACTTGCAGATGGCTGCCTTCTCACTGTGTCCTTATAGGCCATAGAGAGAGAGGAAGCCAGGTCTCTGGTATCTCTTCTTATAAGGGCACTAATCCCATCATGAGAGCCCTACCCTCATGACCTCATCTCAACCTATTTACCTCCCAAAGGCCCCACCTCCAAGTACCATCACACTGAGGGTTAGGGCTTCAACATATGAATTGAGGAGTGAGCACACAATTCAGTCCGTGGCACCTTATAAAGACACTATTCAGTAAGTTGCTCTATCCCTCCTAGTTTTACGCTTGAGATTCCTTAAGCTGCTCAAGGTCACACAGCTGGCAAGTGGCAGAGCCAGGATTTGAACTTGTGTCCAATTCCACTTCAGCAACTGCACTTAACCACTATGCTATATTGACTGAACCTATGTCATATTAATAATAGTAACTAATGGTTGACTTAGCAAGGAGAGAGCCTGCCAGAGTTATAATCACCCTCAGTGGCTTCCCCCCTCCTACTTCTGTCCCTACCCTGCCCGTCCCTCCCTGTGCAGTAGTCACATCACATGATCCCTGTTCCTTGGATGACGTCAAGTGGTCTCTCTGGTAGCTTGTCCCTGGTTCCTTTCCATCTGACATCTCTTGCTCATCCCCCATGGTGCAGTTTAAATGTGCTCTGTACACATCATTACCTAGCACACATTACATGGCTTGTAAATCCCACTGGAGGGTGTTTGTCTTTTCCACACTGAAGTGAGAGCACCTTGGACACAGGACTAAATCTTTCTATTTTGGCATTCCACAGCACCTCTGGCTCCCCAAGCCCCCAGTGTTTGAATAAGTGAAACATGTAGAAGACATGGAGATCGTTAAGTAACAAGGAGCAGAGAGGGCTGTTATTTTTTAAAAAAGAAGAAAACAACATCAGATATTCTAAGACAAGTACTTACAGAAGGAACCACTAAAAGCTTTGACTTTTGAAACTGAATGTTTAATGTAGGCCCTCTTCTGTGTGCTGGCAGACGGCACTCAATTCAATATGATGGTCAATGTACATTTTTGAGATTTGCCATGGGTCTCATGGATGTTTCATCTTTTTTGATTATTAACTACGTTAGTCTTCTAAACATGTATTCTTTAAAAGCTTGTCCTGTTTCTCAACGTAATTTGCATGTGCTATAGTGCACCCCCTCATTTTATGCTGACCCATTCCCACTGGGGACATAGGGATCAACTTGCCGGTGTTCCAGTTAGTACAGACTTTCTAGGAGGCACGTGTCTTAACGCATAAACGGAGGCCCACGTTGTTTCCTGAGTTGCCTTCTCCAAAGGGGACAGTTTGGACCGGTGGGAGCTCCTGCCCCAGACATTCCTAACCATCCTCTATCTCTGTCCTCCCCCTGCAGGCTGGCCGTGTGTGACCCTCTCTGTCCTGGGATTCCTGTACTGCTACTCCCACGTGGGCATTGCCTGGGCCCAGACATACTCCGTGAACTAATGGCGCTGGGCCCCGGTCAGCCCTTTTGGCTGGCTTCCAAGACAAATAGTGCTTCACCCTGACCTTGCACCTCAAGGTAACCTCCAGGGGAGCAGTGCCTGATCTGCTCATCTTTTGTCGAACTTACCTCACTCCAAGACTGGAAGCTTGAGCTCTCATAACTTTGGGAACTTAGAGATCATCTTCCCAGCCTTCCTGTTGAGTAAGCTGGGGTCCAAAGCAGTAAAGTGTCTTGCCTAGCTGCACATGGTGACGTGATCCAGAATCCAGTCCCAAGGGCCCTTTAGGTTCTTTCTCCTTTACCAAGAATGAAATGTAATAGACATTTCTTGACTGAGGCATAGAAATTCTCATTAGTGATAGGCCTGTCCTCCCCTGGGCGGTATTTCTGAAACATGTTGGGTCAGTGGCATTCGAGTGTCCCCTTCCCCATGTCCTGCAGTGTAGTCTGTAGAACCAGCCCTGGGTTCAGCTTCACACTTCAGCTCCTCAGCAGGGAGGTGACAAAGCCACAAAGCCAGGGAGGTGTTTCTAATTACCGGGTCAGAGAAGACTGAATGTGTTCTGTGGCATTGCAAGGAGTCAGTACCCAAGGAGAGCTGTTACTTGAGCTGATCTACATTTGGCTGCTTCTTGCCTAGATTTGCAGAGAAGTATGAACATGGCAGTCCCTCTACCTGACAGTTAACTCTTTCCCAATAAAGAAGCAGAATTTAAAAACCAAGGAATAGTGTATCACAGACAGGTGCTATCAGGCAAGTCATAGAGGGTAAAGATGACTTCCTGTGGTCTCTCCTCTCTTCACACAAGTCTCAGCAGTCATCTTCCCACTGAGCGGTTTACACGCTGTGGTTTACCTTGTTTTGTTTTGTTTCCAATAAAATGGAGCCTTTTCTATCACATAGATAATTCATATTTTTGTAAAATTGTTTTGAATATTTTTTGAGGAAAATGTTTAAAATCAAAACACACGTACCTAATTCTGAATTATTCACTCTCCTGGAAAGATGCTGACAGGCCACTAATGGCCCCAAGTGGTAGATAATTCAGAATACTTCTGTGTGGCTTTGGATTTTTTTCTTCTGAGGGGGCAAGAGGGTAAGTGAAGCAGTTTCAAAATTTGAATCCAGAGTGTACCCAATTATGGGAGAATAGAACATCTCAAGCACATGAATTAATCGTCATTGAGTGAAAGGTGCACCTGGACCTGGTCTGGGCCCCGCTGTCTCCCGTTAGTCATTTGCTGTTGTCCTTGTGTCCGGGCTGTGGTTATTAGCTCAACGAGGTTTAAACTCCTGGTGCAGGACCATTTTGCCGACGTGCTTTCTTCCTAGCCACTCTGCTCGGAAGAGAGTTGGGAGGGGACCAGCCATGGATGCCAGGGAGGGGCACACACCGTGTTAGCTGCAGCAAAGGACAGAGGCTGGAGGGAGGCAGGCAGACCAGGGCAGCAGTCGCCTCGGCAGCTGCCTTGGTAAAGGACGGGGGGGGGGGGGGGGGGGGGGGGGGGGGGGGGGGGGAGACAGGCAGGTGAGTCCAAGGTGCTGCGAAGTCTTGAGGCGGGGATGAAGTTGAGGAAGATTGAGCCGTCAGATGAATACAGTAAAACTTCATGGACTCTTAACACATTCAAGATGTGTGGTCAGCCAGAACCCTCTTGGCTGAAGTTTACAGGGGAAAGAGTAGTGTGAAGACGATTGCAGGGAAATGTCTAATGCATGTGCATATATAAACAGTGCAAAATATTTTCAACTCTTCAGAGACGCCATTTATATAAAAATAAATAGGCTTATTTACTCGTTAAACTACATTGGAAGAGTCAGTGAATATATTTGAAAGTAATAGCCCTGAATTTCTTTCAAGCTATTCTATGATTTAGAGTGGTTCTCAGGAATGAGTAAATGATTACTGTCTTTAGCTATATATTTGAGGCCTGGTTACACAATATGTGGATTATCCAGGACCAGTGTTTTCTTTAACCTCTTGCTTTTCTCCAACTGTGATATGAAAACGATGTCTCTTTTCATGCACATGAGCTCAAATCTTGGAGTTCCTTTCAATGAAAGACTCCCGAGGTGTCTGAGCAGACGGAGCAGTTCCAGCTGAGGCGCGTCCGATGCGTCACTTTCCATAGTTATCAGCCCTGGGCCACTTCAAGCACGGGGAAGGGAAACAGCTAGACAGATCCCAAGATCATTTCTAGCCCCAGGATCCTCCGACTCCAACCTAGCTCTGTGAGCAAACCGGAGAGCTCCAAGCATGATCGTCATGATGAGCCCCAAGGAGGCAAGTAAAACATCTGAAGGACAGCAAAATATCGGTGATTTTGACTAATTCTTGGGACCGTGCAAGAAGACTGAAAAGTGTTTATTTCGTTATTTCCTCAGATTAATTAATTTGAGAAGTGGCAGCAGAAGCCTTTTATTCTACTAAATCCTGCAGACTTAGAAAGAAAATATATCAGTCATATATATAATTGTATAATCTGCATATTGGGAGAACAGTAATTTAGTGGGAGGGGGATTCCCCTTAGAGAAACTGAGCCTGCTCATTGCTTATTTAAGGTAACAATATAATTACTGATTAAGTATAACAAATTAACCATAATACAATGAGTTTCTTTTCTAGCAAATGTACCAGAATACATCCATACAGAAAGGCCAACTGTGGAGAAACCAGATTATCTTGACGGTCCTGGCCTCTCTCAGTGCATGGTGAGATGCCTCTCTGAGGCCCTTCTTCAGGGTAATTGTTTTATTTTAAAACCAACCAACAAAATCCCTCTTTCTTATTGTTGAAACCCATTTGTCATCCAATATGTAGTATCTGTTACTTGGCTCTGTGTTGCTTAGTCCTTTTGACTAATTATAAAAATCATAGTCACAAAGAAAGATTTTTTTTCATCGTTGAGGATATCTAAAGAGTACAATATGTTTAGTGCTTTGTTAGGTGGGACTTTTGAAATGAACATCAACCATTTGGAATTAAAAAAAATATCACCCTTAAGATAGTTTTATTATGCTCTTCTGCAATGTAAAAAAATAATAGGGTGTGGGGAGAAAGTCATCAAAAATACTGGATTTATACTGTGGCCCTATGAAATCAAGCAGAGGCCTGAATACGGCTTGCAGATCACAGATTCCTCATCCCTAAGTTGTACTGTCTATAAGAAGAAAAGCGCCATTTTTGAAATGTAGTCCGTTAGTATGAAATAAGAACGCATGTTGGCAGTATCGTGGAGACCCTTGCCATGAGCGGGAAGCAATAGCTGTTCAAACCACAGCAGAACTGAAACAGTGCTGGTGTACAGGACTAGCTTAGGGACACGCGGTCCTCTACCTTAGTGGCCTCTGTGACGATTAGTGAATTAAAGCACAGATCAGAACTCATACTGTTGACGCTGAGTCATTCCAAAAAGACTCAGTAAAGTTTTTGACAGTACGTATGTTTTAAAAGGCAGCAAAGCACGAGTACACAAATGTTAATCCAAATTGTTCAAGAAAGATTAAAAAGTTCAGTTCTAGGTGGGAGGTCAGCTTCAGTTCTGTGTTCAATCAGTGTGTTGTACCACAATTTTCCAGTGATGCCAGGTTTGGAGGGCATCTCTGTACATTTGTATAGCAGATACAGCTCTATTTCAAGATCACACGGTGAAGCTCCTTCACAACCATTCTCTTGCTATGCAGTACTTTGACTGACACACAATCTTGGTGTCTCTAGAATTTTAAGTTCTCCGAAAACCGGAGTTACAGGTGCTATCCAAATGAGAGCTCTCCGGGCTCTTGAAAAGGACTAGAAAGTACCACCTTGTTCTGTCATCATCTTAGGTGCGAACACCCAATTCAATGCCTGGAAATTCTATAAAAGGCAAGGCAAAAGCAATCATGTATGATCATGTATAAAATAGTTTATTACCATAATAAATAAAATTAAACTTTTTTTTTTTAACAAATATCATTTGTGCTTGTTTAAAAATGTTGAGAAGGGAATATCAATGGAGGGGCCCACCTGTCCCTCTTACCATCCCCAGGCTGCAGTCATGCAGTGGAGTTCTGTCAGCGTACTCAGCTGACCACACAAGTAGTCTCAGCTCGTTTGCACGTCTGTTGATTCATGCTCCTGTGGACAAAGTGACAGATGCAAAGGAAGAAGAAAAATCCAATGAAGGATTTGGCAGGACTCAATGGCAAGAGTGTTGATACAAGGAGGAGCCCCAGGATGACGAACTGCTCGTGAGTAGAAGTGTCCTCGCAGTGTCAGTGAGATGTCAGATGTGGGCAGTCTCCAACAGATGCACAAATACGGCGTCTGAATATTGAGAATACATTCATCGTGGGGGGGGGGGGGGGGGTTTGCATCTTTCTTTGCATAAAAGCAGTTCATATCCTGATACAAGATCCGTGAACGTCTCATTGAACAACTAATGGATCTGTTGGCTGACTGACTCAGAAGTCACAGATAAAGAGACAGTGGCTCTAAGAAAAGTTTAATGGTGGGCGGGGAGGGCACCCACCGGTCCGGCACCTGCAGTGTATTCAAGTCCAGTTCTAAAGGTTCCCGAATAAGTCTGATATGCTCGCATGAGAATGAAGTTTCATTTGAAACTAATTTAAGCAGGAGGCAAGTTCACATTGATTCTTTTGAACCGTGAGGGGGTGGAAATGAAAACATCTCAACATGAACATGATGGGTGAGAAAATGGTGCTGTCTCTGATGGCCGCAGCTAGCGCTGGGAGGACAGTGAAATCTCGTCCAGCTGGAGGGCACGAGAGCTGGTGAAGGTAATTTTTATCGAAGCGAGAAAGAAGGCAGTACAATGATGGAGTGACAGAAGAGAGGCTGTCCGGGGGCCTGAGTGCGCCCTCAGTGGGCCTCCTCTTTAAGCAACACTACATGAGGAGGGAGGAGAGGAAAGAGTGTTGGCGGCTCCATCACAGTTGGAGTGCCATTCAAGGGTCTTAAGGCTAAACATCTTTATTGCAAAACACTGTACAACCTATGCATCAAGCGCACGTCCACTTGTACGTCCACCGGGGCTCCTAAAATTTCCCAGAGGGTGCATGTGCTAACTGGTGGTCAGGGCAGCAAGGGGAGACGAGGCTCTTCCTACACCTACCTGGTTATTTCGAAGGCATTCATTCATTCACTCCCCACAGGCTTGGGCACAAAGCTTAACAGCTGGCTTAATGCTTTCCCCTCCCACCTAAGGATTCAGGAGAGGAAGGTCGCTGGATGGGGTGGTGTGATGGGGTACCTTTTTACTCTGAGCTGTGCTAGCTAACTCCACTTCCGAAAGAGGATTCCAGGACCAGCAGCAGCGCAGAGGATGATCTAGAAGGCTGAGGGTAAAACAAGCCCAGGAATTGGAATAACAAGAAACGGGAACAGCCTTGAAATGCTAGGGCCCATGTTGCTGTAGCGTCAGAGTTTTTAGAAGCCATTGGCTGCCTACCACGAGCTACAAACCCTTTGCCCACAGATTTAATCTGAGGTCCAGAATATAAAGAAAAGTCTTAGAAAGAATCAAGCCAGGGGGTGTGAGTGCGAGGGAAGGGGATGGATGAAGGTGGAGATACCAAGACTGTGCACTGGACCAAGGCTTCTCAACCAGATGGCTGCCTCCCATTCCTGCCTATGGGAATCTCGTCATAGCCAGTGGGGGAGCCTTTGATGGAACGGGAGCAGTCATTGCTGGAGATGGCGCCTCCACCAAGAACAAGCACTCCATCTTGTTGACTGCCTTATTTCACTGACTCACCCCTCACTCCCACACCTCCAGCCAAGGTGGGGGCAGGGGTGGGAGTGGCCGTGTTCAGCAACCAACCAAGTGGTAGGGGCAGGACCTCCTACTCTAAACAGCCTGTCTGTTAGGGTACTCTGGGAAATGGAGCCTCCCTATGAATGACATTCAAGGTAAGGAATTGATGTAAGAGATCAAGTAACCAGCAATCACTCTGCAATGGTATAACGACATGTCCCCTTCCCTCGAAAAGAAAAAAATAGCTCAGGTAAATCTACATCTCTCAGCGTAACTTTTCTAAAGTCTAAAGGTTGGGTCCAATACCCAAATACCTTTTGTTTCCCTAATCTCTCTTCAGCCACCAGATAACGGTTTATAAGTGGAAGGCTGAGTCAGTGGTATCTGAAGCTCGTGGTTCTTGCTTGGGAAGCCAGAGCGGCATCTGGGCAAGGGTGTAGGTAGTTAGTTAGTACAAAGCAGCCCACGGCCAAGTGCATGTCATAAAAATGCAAGGAAAGAAGGTTTGGCTCATTTAAAAATGTTTTGTTTTTGTTTTTTTCCCAGAGAAAACCATTATAGCAAAAATCCCTAAAATCCTTAAATCCTTAAGGGGAGAAGAATAAAAGCATATACAGCCATACCTGTGGTGCGCTGTCACCCCCCAGGAGCATGGGTTGCAGGCC